AAGGAAACTCTATTTTCCTTGCAATCCAAACTTGGCGGTTCATGCTTGGTGGTGCACCGCCAAAAAACATTTCCTTGGCGGTTTTCCTATATTCCTTGGCGGTTTTTGGCCGCCAAGAAAATTCCGTTCTATGGTAGTGTATGCTAAATCTACGAGTACGCATGCATGATTGTTGCTCTACTGCTACGGTGCTACCCACAGCAATACACTTCAGACTAACTAACTAACTAACTAACTATAATCATCAACAGGGAACTAACTCATGCGGCGTCTTTGATGCCATTTGTTGTACTAACAGACTATGTTGTGGTTGGATGCATTATTGCAGTACTTCTTTTTTGAAATAGTAGAACATTTTTCGTGTGACAGCTAAAACACTCATTAATACAGAACAGAATTTACTACTGGAAACTGAAGTTTCCCTGTCAATATCGCCTGCTAAAACACTCATTAATACAGAACAGAATTTACTACTGGAAACTGAAGTTTCCCTGTCAATATCGCCTCCACCGATGGAAAAGTTATGTATTATCCTGTCGGTGGGTGACAACCGAGTGCAAAACTATAGGACCCATAGAAAAAATAGTTATTTCCCTATGTGGAGTATAAACCAACAGGAAATCAAATTTCCCTATCGGCACAAAAACAGACACACAGAAAAATTATTTTATTCCTACCTGTACTCAATTTTCTTTGTCGGTTTTATATTACACTCGAGACTAGAAAAAACTCACCATATATATATTATGTATTATCTGTTGTATAATATGTCCATTGTCCATAACAGCTGACTGACACAATGTTTTATTTCAGGTATCGCTTTAGACGCCAGGACCTTTTTAGTGACGGTAACGACACATTTTTCAGCCGGGTTAAAGGCACACCTATCCCTGTGGTGCTTGACTGGGCCATCAGGGATGACGGGTCCTGCCAGCCTCCGCCCCCAAACGGTGGGGCATCTGTGAAACCCACAGCTCCGGCTTGTGTCAGTGCGAACAGCTTATGTGTCAACGCCATACAGGGGCGTGGGTACCTCTGCAATTGCTCCGAGGGATACAAGGGTAATCCCTATGTCACTGGCGCCAACGGATGCACAAGTGAGTTTTTTTGTTTTCAAAAGGATGCTCATGGTAATCTTTAATTATAGTAAAAAGTCACACAAATTCTTTCATGTTTCCTGAACTGGTGACGGCCAGTATGTGGTGACTATACACATATTCTCTGCAGGGGCATGTGTACATGGTAGAGAGAGAGAGTTATGGAAAGTTTAGTCTTCTAGTGTCCATGTGACTTATTTTTTAGATTTTTTCACCAAACTCTGGTTCAGTATAAAGGGAGGAAGAAAGTAGTGGCCAATGTAACAGTTAATGGTCAATTATTACATTGTAGTATATTTCCAGTTTAATTCTGTTTAGCAGCTATAGTTTGCTAAATATTCAATGTTCCCAGCTAACTATTTGATTCCCATATATCTTTGATACAGATATAAATGAGTATGAAAAACTATATCCCTGTTATAGTGGTAGCACATGCCATGATACACAGGGTGGTTATAAATGCAAATGCAAATTTGGACTAAGGGAGATGGTAAAAGTGAGAAAGGATGTCAGCTCATATTGCCCATATGGGCGATACTAATATTTGGTGAGGATTTACTCATTGCATAATGATGTGCTAGCTCTTTCATTTTGTGATGGAAATTATCTTCAATTGGTATTTTAATACTGTTGCTGGCTATGAAAATTTAAAAATCACTTCAATTTGTATAGTTGCACAATACAAAGGTATGCATGTTGATCAAAGACTGGTTTATTCTTTTTTTATGCTACTCGTTTTATTATGACACAAGTAGCTGTACATGATAGTTTTTGTCTTCTTAAAATCATGATTAGTTCAATACTTTGTAAGGCATATATATCGAATGGATTTTGAGATCCATAGTTGTACGTAGTTTGAGGTAAAGATGAAATTATTTTTAATGATAAAAGGGAACTGATGTATTGTTACCATTCGATTAGGTGCCTTTGAAATATTTTAGACGGTTTGTACCATTAAGAAGCATAAACGCTAAGGAGAAATTCTTAATTTAACAAATCCACTGGAACAGCATAGTTTACAGGCAAGAAAATGTAATAGACAAGTTTTAGCACAAATTAATTTCAGGAAGGAATAATGCATGGTCTGCATGCAACTGTATGACTGACAATCGATCCTGTTTCACTGTGGCTGCAGCAATATTTATTGTCATCGCCCTAGCAACTCTCGTAATTTTAGAGGCTAAGAAGCGAAAGCAAAGGAGTTTTTTTTGACAAAAATGGTGGTGACATACTCAAGAGCATGGGCATCAACATCTTCACGGAGGGTCAGCTGAAGAAAATCACAAACGGCTACAAAAACTCCATTGGAGGAGGTGCCATTGAAAGGTCTACATAGGGATCACTGGTGATGCCCAACAGGTTGCCGTCAAGTGCTCCACTGCGAAAGGCGAGGTGCTTCCGCAGGAGGAGTTCCGCATCAACCACGCTAACCTGGTCCGCCTCAACCACGCTAACCTGGTCCGCCTCGTTGGATGCTGCCTAGAGACAGACGTTCCCATGCTTCTCTTCGAGTTTGTCCCCAGAGGAAGCCTTTACAGCGTGCTTCATGGCACATGCAAGATGCACCCGCTGTCCTTGCCAGTGCGCCTGAACATTGCCATCGGCTCAGCGGAAGCTCCTGCTTACACGCACTCTCATGGTGGCCACAACCATGTCCATGGTGATGTCAAGTCAGGCAATATCCTCCTCGATGATAATCTCACTCCCAAGGTCTCTGACTTTGGCTCAGCAAAAAGCTTGTGTCTGTCGCTAGCAGGTACTCCAAGTGGTGTGTATCAGGAGACATGAGCTACATAGACCCGATATACATAAAGTCTGGCCGATTCACGAAGAAGGGCGACGTCTACAGCTTCGGTGTGGTGCTCTTGGAGCTCGTCACAAGGAAGCCCGCAAAGGATGGGGAAAATAGCCTCTACATAGACTTCATCAAGTTATGCAAGGACGAGGGAAATGGACGGAAGTTGTACGATGAAGAGATCTTATCTGGTGATGACGCTCGATCTCATCATCACATGGAGTGCCTCGACATGATCAGTAAGCTTGCAGTCCAATGCCTCAAGGAAGACTTGGATGACAGACCGACCATGGCTGAGGTGGTGGAGGAGCTTAAGCGAGTGAAGGCAATAGCCACCGGAGGCTCATGTTCTGTCACAGGTTAATTAAGGATGTCTGAACATCACTCTGGCATAGCTACTACTTTATAGCAAGACTTCAGCTTCATCCCCATATCCATGGTAGTCACGGTGGAGTACTTGAGTTGACTGTACTTTGAATTATATTCATGTAGTGTCGTGTCATCTTTATCTGTATCATGAGACTTGTTATTAAGATGCTTGTATTCTGTGCTTATGTAGACATGTAGTGCCACTATACAAAATATACTTCTCCGTCTAAGAATATAGCTACGTACATTCTCAGACGGTGGAGTATTATGTTTGGAAACATCCCTAGCTAATGATCGTATGTTGATATGGGCAATAATCTTATTTGTTCTGGTTCAATTATTCATAGTTGTTTCGAATGAACACTATTTTCCTAGCGGTTCGAAACTGTCAAGGAATGAAATAAGCAAAACTGTCAAAGTATTTTCCAGACAGCAAACCGGTATGAAAATACCGCTAGGGACCGAACGTCTGGAAAAATTTCATGTCGATTAACCATCAAAAACATTTCTCGATACTTTCTTACTATTGGCCAACAGAAAAAACTATGCAGCATCAGGTTTGTTGATTTTATTCATGTCAACATAAATCGACGGGGAATAGTTTTCCCTATAGGTGCTCTATTGGCAGGGAAATTGTTGCTTCGACTACCCATTATGCTACCGACAAAGCAAATGAGACTTTTCATGTAGGTGAATGTCACACTATAATTTTTTTCTGATTTTATGATGTAGTTGGGTAACACAAATAAAAACAATGATTTAGCGGCTCATAGATAAAAGGAAGTCCAAATAGGAAAGCACCTGAGTTCATGTTTTCACATGCCCATTTTATTGAAACCAAAGATAGCAACAAAACACATACATGTGAAAACATGAATTCATATGTTTCAGTACTCGGTGACGGCTTTGGTTGAACCACAAACTTCACCTTGTTGGATAGGTATTGTACTTGCACTTGTGAATTATGAAAAATTAAGCACATGCATGTGTAAGCTCCATGACTTATTCACCACTTGTAAATATTGAAGTGCAACACAAGGGTAGGTGTAATAAGCTAAATATTATTTTACAAAAACTAGTAGTTTAAAAAACAAGTTCACTTATGGGTTCCAAAAGTGTTTGAAAATGTGTATTAAATAGTTTTAAAACTTTCTTAAAAAGGGGGGTTAAATTTCTCAAAATAATTGTATATTTCAAAAACAAGAGTGAGAAATTAAGTTTCAAAAGGGGGTTTTGAAATTGTTTATTTTGTCACTCAAAACTAGATTCAAAATACCTTAAATGATTATTTAAAACAGGGTTCTAAAATATTTCAAAAGAGCTTCACAATAGTTTTAAATGATTTATCAAAATATAGTTTAAAAGGTTTGCAAAAGCAGGTTAAAAAGACATTAAAAATGTGTGAAAGGTATGAAAAGATATTGGTTTGAAACAAGTTCAAAATATACTTATTTTTAATCAAATTTTAAAGTTTGAGAGTTTGCAAGATTCAAATAGTATAGAATTAGTTTCAAAATTAGTTTGCAAATCTATAAAACCTTCAAAATCTGTCTTGGGCCGAATTCAATTCAAAACCAACCTAAATCTCCATCATCTTTTCAGCCTGACCTGCTTCCCTCCTCGGGACGAAATCCACCAGCCCAACTCCCTCCCCATGCCCTACATTCTCCGTTGCAAGGCTGGTTACTGGTGGCCCAGAAACCAATCAAGCCAGGCCCGCGTTTCTCCCTCCCCACATGTTATCTCTTGCCGCAGATACCTCCACCATTAACGTGGAGCTCGAGCTCCAATTGAGCGGCACCCCAAGCATTCCCGAGACCATCTAACAGCCCCACCACAATCCCCGTCCACCCTCCCCAATCATGGCAAAATGGAGACAGTGCAAAAACATGGCAAAATGGTAGAACGACGAACTGATATAACGTTTTACAATTATGCCCACACCATATATGTAACCCTCGGACATCATCACGCATATCTTATCACTCACATCTCACATCAAGGGAAAATAAAATTTTGAAATGTCACTACATATCTGACAAGAAAATACCTCTAAGGACAGAGCTCAATGGGAAATACTTAAGCTAACAAAAAATGACAAGACATACAAACATATCAAAAAGGAAAATCCGCACATGTTTCCTATACTCTAAGCTTGTCGATGGACTTGGAAAAACTGTTCGTATTCTGGGAATGTTTCTGTAATTCTTTCAACCAGGCTGTGTGGAAACGTTTGGGCCTGCAAAGCAGGACGTTTCTGCATCAGGGAAATAACCACCTCTTGTATGTCCACGTCATCTAGAGAGCCTGCGTTTACTCAAGTGGCAAGTGGTCATGAAACTATCCCCACATGTTTTAGGCAAAAAAGCAGATTGGGGTAACAGATGAAGGAACTTACCCAATTCAATGTCTTGGGTTTCTTCACCAATGTCTCCTTCCTCGATAGCCTCGATTGACTCACCCGCAGCAACTAGTGCATATCTTTCAAGGAATTCCTCTTCTGTTTCTTCCCGCACATCATCGTCGTCCGAATCCTAATTGCAGTATATTTATCTTATAAGCAGTGTTCTCAAGACTGACAAAAAAAGATAGAAAGCAGTGTCTTCATTCTATTACCTCATCATCATCTTCGGTGTCTTCGTCTTCATCGTCATCATCAAGATCTTCAGCACCATCGTCGTCATCATTGTCCCCATCCTCTTGAACTTGTTAGCTAATCTACTACCACCTTGTGTGAACACAGCAGACGAAGTCGGCGCCAACTTTGCCCCCTGCTGTGATACTATAGCCGCTACAGGTGCTGGCGCCGCACGGCTCACCTGCAGCACTGTAGGCACATGCAGTGGCCGGCACAGAGTCAGCCCTGTATGCTTATCTAGTTACTATTATAGCATGTGCGCAGTACTTTAGTTAGATAGATAGAGTTGTATAAATAGGGCACCAAGGCAACTCAGTAAAGAGAGCTCAGATTTGTCATCACACAGACAGAGCCTCACTACTGGAAACGTGTGCTTTGCCGAGGGCATGAGGCTTTGCCGAGGGCCAAATCTCGGGCACTCGGCAAAGACACTCTTTGCCGAGGGCCAGCCACAGGAGCCCTCGGCAAAGAACGGCCCTCGGCAAAGACAGGCCCATGGCAAATCAAATCTTTGCCGAGGGCCGCGGCCCTCGGCAAAGATGCCCTCGGCAAATTAGGCCTGTTGGGTCACGGCGGCCATTTCCCGTCAAGCTTTGCCGAGGGCCACCCGTTAGATCCTCGGCAAAGGTTTTTTTTCTGTGAAACCAGCTTTTTCGGTAAATTTTTTTTTAAGTCTTTGCCGAGGGCTCTAGACCAGGCCCTCGTTAAAGATTTTTTTAAAACCAGTTTTTCGGCCAAAATTTTTTTTTATAAATCATCTTTGCCGAGGGCCCGAGGCTAGGCCCTCGGCAAAGAAGCCCTTTGCCGAGGGCCAGGATAGGCCCTCGGCAAAGATTTTTTATTTTTATTTTTTAAAATTCTTTGCCGAGGGCCATGGGCCAGGCCCTCGGCAAAGAGCCCTCAGCAATTTTTTTTTTGGTTTTTTAGCCCAGTTTTTTTGTGGTCCTACAATATATTGTTTTGAACTCAATTTTAAAATTTAGGCCAATTTTGATTTTGTTTTGTATATTTCCTTAATTTATTTCGATTCTTTGATTTTTTTCGAATATGTCAAATTTGAGTTGCAGGTGCATGGAATATTGCAATGTAGTGTTTCGAAAAATGTTATTCATGTTAATTGGTGCATGTTGAGTCCCTATCCACGAACTCGCATCAAATTTCGTGCATCTTGTTCGCGTAACATGACGACCGACTTGCCGGAAAAGTGTTTTAAAATTATATAAAATCCATACGACGTATTGTAGGATCACATGTGAAGATGTCTAGGTTTCAGGCATCCGACGTCGCAACTCGCTCGAAACCTTCTCAATTTTTTACCACATCCTACACATGCGATAACATGACATCTCGCCAAATTTCGTGATTTTCGGACTTCGTATGGATTTTATATAATTTTAAAACACTTTTCCAAAGAATCGGGCTCGTTATGTTACGCGAACAAGATGCACGAAATTTGATGCAAGTTCGTGGATAGGGACTCAACATGCACCAATTAACATGAATAACATTTTTCGAAACACTACATTGCAATATTCCATGCACCTGCAGCTCAAATTTGACATATTCGAAAAAAATCAAAGAATCGAAATAAATTAAGGAAATATACAAAACAAAATCAAAATTGGCCTAAATTTTAAAATTGAGTTCAAAACAATGTATTGTAGGACCACAAAAAACTGGCTAAAAAAAAAAAAAATTTGCCAAGGGTCTTTTGTTTGAGGGCTCTGCCCGTGGCCCTCGGTAAAGAATTTTAAAAAAAATAAAAATCTTTGCCGAGGGCCTTGATCTCGCCCCTCAGCAAAGGACCAAACATAAATCAAAGTCCGCAACCCAAATTCCCGATCGAATCTTGTGAAAAAAAAATCCCGCCGACCATCTCCTCCCCACGCTTCCGCTGTCGCCATTTACCCTCAGCTCCACCACCACCGGGCCACAAGACCCCACCACCGCCAAGGCTACCATCGCTACACGCCAGCAGTCGCTCGAGCCCGGCCGCCCAGCGCCCCACCTATTGTCTTTTATGCAGGAGAAGAGTACGTCGGAGGGGACCCGGAGGACCCCGATCGTCTTCGTCGACGTCGCGGTTCTGCTGCACAAGGCCGCAAGCCGCGCCCACCAACTGCGTCGATTCGCCATTTGCCCGCTTAGCCTTACTTCACCGACACCCTAGGTATAAATAACCTCTTTTGCACATGTCCAGCCGTAGCCAGCGCGTAACCCAGCTTAAGGCGCCTCCCGTCCAAAGAGATACGGTTGTAGGTATGCGGATCTTTGCGATTCTGCGACCAGATCTTTCGGATTGTCCACGTTTTTGATAGGCCCGTGGATGCGTAGATGGGTTAGTTTCCATGGTCCGCTCCCGGTCCGAGAGGAGTTTCGGCAACACCTCCCTGTTGTTCTCCGGATACACTCTCCCTGCGGGGCGTGTTTGGGGAGAACAAAGCAGGGAGGTGCTGCCAAATTTCTCCTCGGAGAGGAGTGGAGCATAAAATCGACCTCATCTACGCATCCGCTGGTGGGATTAGGACCTATCCTCACCTATTAGATAAGAGGAACACCGCGTAGATGCAATTGATGGTCACAATACTCTATGCTGTAAATATTAAAGGATGGAGGACCGTCGATGGATGTACACGGGCCGGAGAAGCGAGAGGAGTGACTACGACTATGAATGGGTGAAGGTGACGATGGTTTCTTGAAACATGCATTTGGCCCAGGGAGCAGGAGGACATTCTCTAGTTTGGTGTCCTGCAAAGAAATGTGACAACAGGAGAAAAGTAGACGAGAAGACCATGGGTAGACATCTTGTGTTCAATGGTTATACGCTGGCTACCAAAGAGTGGATCTACCATGGTGAAGCGGATCGTATAAGAGCGGAGGTGGTGAGACCACGCCTCGAGGCTTTTGATGATGATGCCGGGTAGCGCGACATGCTAGATGATGCCCACCAAGCTCACTTCACCGAACGACGTGAGAAGGAGGAGATGGAGGAATCCGCAAAGGACTTCTACAAAATGTTGGACTCGGCACGAAACCCCTTCACGAGCGTACAATGATTTCTCGCTTGGATGCGATTGGACGCGAATGGGGTTGAAGGCGAAAGTTAAACCTAAGTCGAGAAGGCTTCGATAAGATGTTGGCCGTGTTTGGCACCATGCTACCGGAGAAGCACACTTTGCCGACAAACTTGTACGAGGCAGAGAAACTCCTTCGTATGCTTAAGATGCCGTATGACAAGATACATGTTTGTCCGAAGGGGTGCGTCCTATTTAGGAAAGAACACAAGGATGCAAATTATCGTCTGGTGTAAATCCTCCGTACACGGAGGTAGACTCGTGATGGTCGGAAGAAGCGCCTTCAATCCCATGAGAGTGCTACGTCACCTTCCTTTCCTACCGAGGATCCAACGGCTATTCATGACTGAGGAATCTGCGAAACAGATGACATGGCACAAAGATGGCAAATGGTACAATCCTGGGAAGATGGTACATCCGTCTGATGCTGAAGCATGGACGTATTTCAATGACAAACATCGTGACAAAGCAAATGAGGCCCGTAATGTATGTGTCGCTACCGGCAATGATGGGTTCAATCCTTATGGAATGATGGCTACCCCATACACATGCTGGCCCATTTTTGTTATCCCCTCAATCTCCCTCCGGCATCTCCTTTCAACGGCATAACGTATTCTTGTCGTTGATAATTCCCGACACCCGGGAGTAATATGGGTGTGTTCATGGAGCCTGTGATTGATGAATTGATCCACGCTTGGGAGAAGGGGGTATGGACATACGATCGAGCTACAAAGACAAGCTTCAAAATGAACATTTGGTACCACTACTCCCTGCATGACTTCCTGTCGTATGGGTTATTCGTCACTTTGGTGTGTTCACGGAAGTTCCCATGCCCAAAGATGCAAGGAAGCCGTGAGGTTCATTTGGTTGAAGAAGGGTGGCAAGTATTCGCTGCTCAACCAAAGATCGCTGGGTTCCTCCCTCTCCAAAGACTTTACAACAGTCCAAGCACTCTGTAATTCCTGCTTTACTCGTTGTATGTAGATATTTACACACCTAAATTAGATTTGTATTACTGATACATTGGAGTGAAATATTACAGGCCGAGCTGCAAGAAACAAGAAGGCAAAGTCAAGAGCAGAACGCGGAGCTGACCGCACAGCTGCAGGCCTAGAAGGTCGCGTTTGAGACCGCGCAGAAGCAGATGGCGGAGGTGATGGTGATCATGCAAAGTCTTGGGCAAGCATCGGGTGTACCTGTGCAGTTTTCAGCTCCTCCACCTCCTACTCCTGCAGCTACTCCTGTAAGTATGAAAGTTCACTTTTCGCTTGTGCTTTGCATGTATGTCGGCGTTTGTGCCGTTGTGGATGTCGGTGTTCGTGCCGTTGTGGATGTCAGCGTTCGTGTCGTTGTGGATGTCGGCGTTTGTGCCGTCGTTTCTTGCAGGTTTTGGAAACCTCCCCATGCAGGGGAGGTGTTGCCGAAATTTTCAATTGAGTCTAATCTTTTTGTATTCCTAGATTACTAGATGCAATCTCTAAGTTCCAAAACTGTTTTCCCGGATTACTCACACATGCAATCTGCTCCTTTGTGCAACTTTTCGTCTGCATGAGTTCCAATCAACCCGCTTAGTGCGCCACCGGGTGATCCTGCTTTTCCTTCACCATCGTCTCATAGGTTAGCTTGATGAGGACTCGTGCTAGGTGATGTGGTTGGACTTTAGCGTGATTTGTGATTTATGGTTGTGACTTGTGCTTGGATTTCATTAACTTGTCGTAATAAACATGTGAATGATGATGAACATGTGACTTGTCATTGTAATATATTGTGATTTGTGGTTCACAATTATGGTTGTGATATATTATGAGAAAATGGGTTCTGTGTGATATATATATGTATATATATGAAATGCTTGTGTCGATGGAATGCAAAAAACAAAAAAAAATTTAAATTTCTGCCTCTTTGCCAAGGGCAATGACCAAGGCCCTCGGCAAAGAAGGGTCCTTTGCTGAGGGCCCTAGCAATAGCCCTCGGCAAAGATTTTTTT